AAAACAATCCTAAAAAATATTATTATTATTTTACTTCAAAGAAAACATTTTAGGCAAAGCATTACTCATTCAGACCTGCAGTCACCCGGCTGAGGCCATGGTAGGCACCATGTGCGGTTACATAGCGACAGGTGGTTTACTCATATCCAGAATCAGTTTTCACTAAATCTAAACTAATATTACTTAAAATATCAAGAATACAGAATTAAAAGGAAAGCTCATAAATGAAAGGAATTTATAAAGTATATCATAAATTCTTTATTAAATCTTATAATCAGTCATACACTAATTACCATCACCTTCACTTAGAACTGATCCATTTTTTTTTGTCATTTTGTTAAATGACTGTGAAAAGGATCAGGGCAACTCAGCCTTTCTATAAATGGAGGGCCTTTACAAAAAAACTTATTTTTATCTTTTCAAACTATTTTCTTTCCATAAATATAAGTGCCAATAAGTTTTAAACCATTTTTCTTTGGGGGTTCACATTTGTCTCCCTTTAGAAGATGCCCCATATACTTTCTGCTTTCCGTGGTGAGAAACCAAAATGTGTCATTTCATGTGTTGTAACAATTTGAGGCCTGTGGTGAACAAACTCTTTGTACCTCCACAATTGCCATTTGTTCCAAGATATTATCGGCCATTTCTTATGGAGAACATCAGGCATCCTGGAGTAAGTTCTAGGTCAAAAGTGGGCACACGATAAGACATTGGGAACGATATAGACTCAGTCGTGCGGCTGTATGCTTTCAGCTGTGTCTCATTGTCTTAAGCTGCTAAAGACCCTTTTACCATGACATGATTGATAAAATCAGTTTCCAGTGTTAAACCAGTTACAGGAATCCTTTCACATTTGCAGAAAAACACCACCTCCCTCAGGAGAATCCCATGAAATTTCAGAGGCGATCGAGTGTCCATGCCGCGGGGCGAGGCAGCAATGAAGTGGTTAGAGACACATTCTGCAGGGCCTTGCCACAGAGTGAGAAACTTCTCGTAGCCTTGTGAGGAGCTGTGCTCGCCACACCCACATGCCATCTGCCCAACTGCTTGCACCCCCGCCCCCGCACCTGGGCCTCTGCACCCCCGTGGGAAGCCTTGAGCAAGCTCTGGCTCCTGGGTCCCTCTCTGCACCCCCGTGAGAGACCCAGAAGAAGCTCCTGGCTCCTGGCTTTGGACTGACCTGGTTCTAGACCTTGCAGTGTTTGAGGAATAAACCAGTGAATAAAACATGTCTGGCTTCCTCTCTGTCTCTCCTCTCTGTAACTCTGCCTTTCCAATAAAAACAACATAAATTAATCTTTTTATAAAAGATTTACATAATTTTTATTGGAAAGACAGATGTACGAAGAGAAGGAGAGACAGAGAGGAAAATCTTCCATCTGATGGTTTATTCTCCAAGCGGCCACAATGGCTAGAGCTGTGCCAATCCAAAGCCAGGAGCCAGGAGCCTCTTCTGGGTCTCCCACAAGGGTGCAGGGTCCCAAAGCCTTGGGCCTTCCTTGACTGCTTTCCCAGGCCACAAGCAGGGAGCTGGATGGGAAGCGGTGCCGCCAGGACTAGAACTGGCACCCATATGGGATCCCAGTGCATTCAAGGTGAGAACTTCAACCACTACGCTATTGTGCCGGGCCCAAATAAATCTTTTTAAAAGGCAAAAAGTGGTACGCCACATCAGGACCCTTGGTCGATATTGGGTGGCCATTGCCCATGCCTGGGTGCTGGGATGGTTAGGAGGTCGCACGTGGCTTCTCCCCTGGTCTCCCTCCTCCCGTTAGATACAAGAAAAAGAAATCAAAAACTTGGAAACAATAATCACACCCACTTTCCCCTGATCCTCTATCCTTCCCACCCTGATCAACTATGGAAGCATCATCTAAAATAAAAGCTTTGAAAATTTAAAATAAAATAAAATAATAGCTCAATGGCCCCATGAAACCTGCAGAAACTTCTAGCAGGGATGAACTTGGAGCTGAAACTTGAGGGACAGATGAGGTGGGGAAGAGAGAGAGGGGAGGATGTGGCTGCCAGGAGGTGCCAGGAAAGAGAAGCCAACAGTAGTGGGGCAGTCCCGGCAGAGGCAGGCTGCACAGGAAGGCAGGCGGTTCCAAGCGGCCCCAGTGCCCAAGCCACCAGCAGCCCTGACCTCACGCTGTGCCCAGATCATACCTTCTGCTAGCAACCTGCACACATCCTAAATCACTGATTCTCTCAAATTCTGTTTTTCCCCATCTGGTAAACTTCTGAGTTGCCTGAACACTAACACAGCTCGCTCTCTCTCCTTTTAAAGATTTAATTAGTTTTAATGGAAAGGCAGATACACAGATAGAAGGGAAGACAGAGAAAAAGATCTTCCTTCTGCTGGTTCACTCCCCAAGTGGCCGTGATGGCCCAAGCTGAGGCAATCAGAAGTCAGGAACTTCTCCTGGGTCTCCCACGCGGGTGCAGGGTCCCAAGGCTTTGGGCTGTCCTCGACTGCTTTCCCAGGCCACAAGCAGGGAGCTAGAAGGGAAGTAGAGCAGCTAAGACATGAACCAGCACCCATATGTAATCCTGGCATGTGTAAGGGAAGGACTTTAGGCACTAGGTTACAGCGCTGGACCCAACACAGCTCTTTGTAAATGTCACAACCAAAACTAGAGTCTCTGAATATCCGACCAAAGCCACGAAGGCAATTCCAGCTGCCTCCCAGAGCAGTGCAACAGAGCTCTCTGGCACCAGCTGCTTCCCAGAGCTGCACCAAAAGGCAGAATGACGGAGAACTCCCTTCCGCTGGCTCGCTCCCCAACTGGTCTCCACAGTCAGGGCCAGGCCAAAGCCAATGGGCAAGAGCTCCCTCTGTACTCCCAGCTGAGGGCAGGGATGCAGGTGCAGCAGCAGGGAGCTGGCCGGAAGTGGGGCAGCCGCTGAGGGCTTCGTTCCGTTCTCATCCGAGAGTGTCCGTTTCCTACTTGTGGCCTACCACATCTGTTCACGGAAGCAGAATTCACTGCACGTGCGGCCTGTGGGGGTGGGCCTTGTCCTAGAACCAGATGCCAGTGCTGGGCAGGGCAGACTTTGCCTCTTTGAGCCTGACAAGTGCACTTGGGTCCCCATGTGTACTTGGTAACTTCAGGTGGTGCGAGCGTAAAGTAGCAAGATGAAAAGGAAGTTGTGCCCGTGCCTGCAGGAGGGACTGTTCCCCCGGAGCTGGGTGGGGGCGGCACAAGAAGGCACTGCCCTGCCCAGGGAACAGGCTTCTGGGTTAGCTGAGGGAGAGGGGCATGAACAGATAAAGGGGAAAGTCCCACCGGGGCCAGGTTGCCAAGCTGCTCTTTGGGACCCCTAGCATCCCCCGCGTCACCGACGTCACCGACGTCAGCCTGGGTTCAGGTTCCAGTTGCTCCACCTCCCACCCAGCTCCCGCTAGTGCTCCTGGGAAATCAGCTTAGCGGAGGATGGCCTGAGGGACTCTGCACCCAGGTGGGAGACCAGCATTGAGCTCCAGGCTCCTGGCTCCAGCCTGGCCCAGCCCCGACCACGTGGCCATTTGAGGAATGACCCAGTGGATGATGATTTCGATATCTCTGTGTCTCTCTGTCACTCTTTCAAGAAATAAATTAGTCTTCCAAAAAAAAAATCATACATTGGGGCTGGCACTGTGATTCAATCAGCTAATCCTCCCCGCTTTAAGCGCCAGGGATCCCATGTGGGTTCTGGTTCTAATCCCGGCTGCTCCACTTCCCATCCGGCTCCCTACTTGTGACCTTGGAAAGCAGTCGAGGACGGCCCAAAGCCTTGGACCCTGCACCCACATGGGAGATACGGAGGAAACCACTGGCTCTTAGTTTCCAATTAGCTTAGTTCAGGCTGTTGTGGCCACTTGGGGGAGTGAACCAGCCAATGGATGATCTTTCTGTCCCTCCTCTCTGTAAAATCTGCCTTTCCAAAAATAAATAAATAAATATAGGAAGAAATGGAGGGAGGCACGGAGGAGGGGAGGGAGAGAGAGGGGAAGAAGGGAGGGAGGGAGAGGGAGGGGAGAGAGAAGAAAGGAAGGAAGGAAGGGAGGGAGGGGGAGAGAGAGAGAGAGAAAGAAAGAAAGAGAAAGAGAGAAAGAAAGAGAAAGAGAGAAAAAGAGAGAAAGAAAAAGAGGGAAATTGCCATAGTCCAGCAAGGCACGAGGGGGCGCTACGAACACAATCCATTCTACTTCAGGCCGCGCCCCAGTCTGTTCCTGGGGTTCCCTCCTTTGCCAGGCTAGCCTGGCTTTGACATGAGACCCATCCAAACTGATCTGGAACTCACTGCCTCAAAGGAAATCAGGGAAGACCGCAGGTTTTCTTTTTCTTGTCTTAAAAAAAAAAAAGAATTTATTCATTTATTTGAGAGGCAGAGCGGCTGAGACCGATAAATGGCCACCCACAGCTGCCAGATGCAGGCGGCCAGCCGCGAGCCAGCCTCCTGCATGGGCGGCCCGGCAGCTCTCCTTCCGTCCATTCACCCAATCCACTGATTCAACAGGTGCTCGTGAGGCACCTGTGTGCCAACAGGAGCTTAAGGGATGCTCGGGATCTCCCGTTTAAGAGGAGTGAGGGATGTAAGCAAAGAACACAGGGAGAGAGGGGACAGTAAGTCCCCCCACATCCTCAAACCCCTCGAGCCAACAATCTGCATGTTGGTAACCCTAAAGACCAGTAGGATCCAAGGGAACTCGAGCTGGTCAGAGGAGCTGGAGGGACCTTGAGGAAACCCCGTGCAAAGGGGCTTCTGGGGTTCCTCCGGTCATTCCGCCAGGTCCACCACCCCCATGGGCAGGTCACCTCAGATCACTGCACGATCGGAGAGGCGAGCCCGGTGGGCAGGGAGCAGGCTGAGGAGGACGCATGGTGCGTGGGGGTAGGGAGTGCGGCCTCGTGCCCTTGACCGGAGCAGCCGAGGCCCTGAGCGGCTAGCAGGCACAGGCCGCAGTGTCCCCCGGGAGGGAGGACCAAGCCGCTGGGCGCTGCAGTCCCCCGCCTGGCTCATCGCCACCAGCGCAGGAGGTACTCATAGCTGAGGAAAGTGACAGCGTTGACCGGGAAGGCGCGGGCGGTGTTGAGGGTGAGCCCGCGGAAGAAGACGCCCAGGCCCTCCTGCCGGAAGCTGACCACGGCGCAGTCCAGGAAGCCCCGGTAGGCCCGCTGCTGCAGTCCGTCCATCTGCATCCGGGCCTTGATCACGTCGAAAGGCGTGGCCGTCACCCACGAGGCCAGGCCCGCGAAGCCCCCGGCCACCAGCACGGTGGACGAGCCTGGGGAGGGGAGGCCGGGGCCTGGTCAGGCCTGGAGCACCCCAACCTCCACCCACCTCCCCTCCCCCCTTCTGCCTGTCCCACCAGCAGGCTCCTCCCCCAACCCACCCCAGACCTCCTCCCCCTAACTCAGGCCCCCTCCCCCAATCCACCCCAGGCTCCCTTCCCTTAATCGACCCCCAAGTCCCCTTCCCCTATTCTACACCAGGGTATTCTATACCAGGCTCTCTTCCCCAATCTACCCCCAGCCCCCTCCCCCTAACCTACCCCCAGGCTCCCTTCCCCAATCCACCCCAGGCCCCCTCCCCCTAACCTACCCTCAGGCCCCCTTCCCCTCTTCCACCCCAGCCCACCTCCCTCTATCCCATCCCCAGACCTGCCTCCCCCATCCCCCCCAGATCCCCTTCCCACTTCCCGTAGACCTCCCACTCCCTGTTCATCCGCCAGGTCCACCACCCCAATTCACCCCCAGGCCCACCTCCCCCTATATCCCTAGCTTGCTCCCTCCTCCCCCTCTCTACCCCTAGGTTCACTGCCTCCTCTCCCACCTCCCACCCAGGAGCTCCTCTTACTGGGGTTCAGGCCCTCTGGCGTGTACCGGCGGCAGATCCACTCATAGGTGACAAAGTACATGCCCAGGGTGGGCGTGTCACGCAGTGCCAGGGCCCAGGAGCCTCGGAGCAGCCCGCGCGGCCCTTCCTCCCGGAACACGGTGACTGCACAGTGCACTGGCCCGCGGTACCGGGGTGCGGGACTCCCAGGCTTGGCCCTCGGCTCGGTCTGGTTTTGGAGGCGGACTTTGATGAGGTCAAACGGGGCCAGGCAGTAGGCCTGTGGGAAAGGAAGCAATGGAGGAGGCTCTGGGAGCATTGGGTCCCTTACTGTGTCGCCGGCCGGGGCAGCCAGCGGACTGGCCTGAACCAGCAAGCCACCTCTCTTCCCTCTGTCCCCCACTCCCCTGCTAGCCCCCTCCTCTTGGAGCGGGGCAGACCCTGAGGCTCTGACCACTGGCTGAGGCAGATGTGACAAGGGTTTAGGGTCCCAGGACAGGGGGTGGGGGTCAGTTCTGGGAACATATGGAATCTGGCAGGGTTGGGTTGGAATTTAGCTCAAGGTTAACTGTGCTGGGCAGGTAAAGGCTGAGGTGTGTGGGGCAGGGCTTGTGTGGGGGCAGGACCCCTGTGGCTCTGGCCTTGGTCCTTGGAGTTCCGGTGGGATCTGCTGCCCCTGGCCCCCGTCTGGGGGCTGAGGAAGGGCTGGCACTTGGGGGCGCTACAGCAGGGCTTCTGGGTAGCTCCCTCAGCGACCTGCCCCCTCTGCAGGTCACAGGGATGGGCAGCTGCTCTGGAACCCTCCAGTAGGGTCCTGAACTTGCCTGGTGCTGCTCCCTGCCGAGCACCTGACTCAGCCCTTGTGTTCCTGGAGCCAAAGGCGTGTGCCTCGCACAAGACGGGCTGGAGCCGCCCTGCGGGTCTCGTCAATCATTCATTCGGATGAGCAGGGACATCTTCCGCCCTCGCTCCACCCTTTGAAGTGTGTTCAGGGCACAGCATGGAGCGCAGGGGCCCCAAGGAGGGCACCTCAGACCACAACCCTGGGCGCAGGATGGAGCGGGCATGCCTCTGCATGTTGGGGGCTCAGATCCCTTTTCCCCACCCAAGCCCGGGGAATGCAGGACAGAGAACCAAACTCAGTTCACAGCAAAAGCTGTGGCTCGGAACACCTCCCAGCACCCATACACACACTGCCTGTCTGCCATGAGACACTGCCAAGGCCTGAGCTGGGAGGGGCTGGGGTGTGACAGGTGTTGGAGTGGGTGCCAGTTCTGCTGGGGCTGGCAGTTTTCAAGGGGCTAAGGTCACCGCAGCAGCAGGTGGGCAAGGCTGATCAAGCTGCAAGTGCTGAGTCCGCCATCCTCCCAGCCCACCCCCTGTGCTCCAACTCTGCCTTCACCTCCTCTGTCCTCCACGGCCCTCCCCTCTTGCCACAGCCCAGCCGGGCCATGAGCAGCTTGCCCGGTCTTTCCAGAAAGGCCTGTTACAGGTCACCAGAGGGGTCCGGGAAGGGCCGGCCACTTGGCCCTCTCACCTGCAGGACACCCCCTGTGCAGCCTGCAATGAAGATGTGCGTGTAGCTGGGTGGCTGGGCTCGCCGCTGCTGGTGAGATGTGGCTGTGAGTGCCAGCAGCGTGTTGCTGTAGACACCAAACAGGACGGAGTTGACCAGGGCCACGCTGGCCAGGGGGAAGCTCATGCCTTTGAAGAAACCCAGGACCTGCCGCGAGATGGGGTCGCTAGTGACCGGCAGTGGTGACAGAATACAGGGGCCGTCCCTCCCCTCTGCCTCCACTGGAAACCTGGCCACAGGAGGTAGGGGCAGGTAAGGCTGGGGTGGCCTTGCCCCTCCCCCAACTGGAGACCCTAGGCTTTCACCCAGGGTCCCAGCCCTGCCCTGGGTGCCCCACACGCAGACACCCACCGACTCATGGCGGAGGATCTTGATGGCACAGTCCACAATGCCCCGGTACGTGGTCTGTGTCTGCAGACGCACCTGCATGGGGAAGGGAGAGCAGGTGCATGGGCGGGCAGGCACCTGCCCTGCCCTCCTGCCCCTCGAGCAGCCAGCTATGGGCAGCAGAGAGCCCCCACGGGCCAGACCCCAGCTCAGGGTGCCCAACGCCTGCTTCAGTGGGAGTTATCACTCCCCTGCGCTTCTTTCAGACTCACCTTTACCGTGTCGAAGGGGTGCCCCAGGACCAGGCCCAGACCACCTGTGGTGACAAGAAGGCGCTATGAGTCAGCCTCATGCTCTGGAAGCAAGCCTGTGCTCAGAGAAAGAAGGGTTCACAACGCCCCTCTCCTTCGTCTTGTGCGGATTGGGCTGGCGCACAGTATGGCAGGCCTTGGGGCCCTGGGAGTATGACCCAGTGCCAAGGGAGGCACAGGCCAAAGAGGGACTCAGGGCAGCAGGTGGGGTCCGGGTGTGCTGCTTTCCGGCCAGGCCTCACAGGTGGGGGTGCCGGAGGCTGCAGGTGCAGCCGCTCCTCGCCTGTCCAGCCTTTGGCAGCTGTTGGGCAGAATGGGCTGGGGACACGTAAGCAGTGCGCACACACACACACCGCCCCTGCACCATCCTTCCCTCCCCTCCGCCCTTCTGGGGACAGCTGGCCCTGGCACTGCAGTTCCTTCTGTGTCAGCCCCCTTCCCCAGGAAGTGTCCCCCGCTGAGGGTGAGGGGGAAGTAGCGGGGACAGAGGGCAGGAGACCGTCTCACCAGAGATCCAGCCAGCCACGAACTCCTCCACAGGCATGGTCGGGGCTGGGGCGGGAAGTGGTGGCTATGCAGAGGTGATGGGAAAATTTCATTCCACCCTCCCCTTCACTTCCTCCCCCGACTCCAGGCTGATAACTCCCCACTAATATTTAACCCTGGCTGGAGGGCAAGAGATGGCACGGTGCCCAGTCAGCTTCAGTGACCCTGAGACTTGAGGAGGAGGAGGTGCACAGGGAGGCCGGCCACCAGGGGGCAGGCCACCGGCGGCCTTGGCTTGGAGATGCTGACAAGGCTGGGTAGGCGTGTCACCAAGCGTGTCCCTGTGGTTGCTCCCTTGTTCTCTCTCTCTCTCTCTCTCTCTCTCTTTCTCTCTCAGCACAATGGCCTGCAGCCTCCCCAGCCCAGCAGAGAGAGGAATGGTAACCATAAACGCCCTTGTCCTGCTCAGACAAAGGCTGTGATGACACAACAGGAAGCCTCTCCTTGACTTGACATTACCAGCCTTACCAGGGAGACTTACCAGCCTCCCACACAGCTTTTCTTTAGGAATAAGAGAGAATGGAAAACCAGATCCTTCCCAAGCCCTCTGAGCTGTCGCAGGCCACTGTTTCTCCTGCCACCTCAGGTCTGGTCCACCCCTGCACCCAGCCGCCCTCCTCCTCCTTCTCCTCAGGGCCTCCTCTGCCTGGAGCCTGGGCTGATGTGTCACCTTGGGGTGACCTCCGCTGCAGGGAAGCCCCCATCTGACTCCCTGTTACTAGCCCTCTCACTCTTGCCTGTCTAGCCAGGAGGCCCTCTGGCTGTTTTGTTCACTGTGAGGTCCAGACCCCGTATCTCAGTGGGGGAAGAGGAGAATGGAGGGAAAAGTGAAGCAGCAGCATGTGGTATCAGGCCCTGTGTCCCCAGTTCCCCCTCCGTAGCCCTGGCCAGCCCCCTGCGTCCCCCTCCTGGTCCTGCAGTCGCTCTGCGTCTCCCCCTGGATGCCCAGCCTTCTCACTCAGTTTGGTCAAAGCAGCACCTGCCACCTGCTCACAGGGGATGGGGGCACAGCTTCCTGGAAGCAGGGCCTCGTCTCTAGCCTCCTCTCCTGGAAACTGCTCCAAGACCACCCTGAGGAGAGGCCTCCAGCAATGGGCGACTGCCCCCTTCCCTCAGTCCTGTCACTTGTGCAGTGCCCCCCGCAGGCTTTGGGGATCCTTGATTGCTGGCCACAGCAGGCACAAGCCGGGCTGGTCACTGCCGTCCATGCCATCCACTGCACGGCCCAACATCTCCATGCAGGTCTCCCTCTTGGGTGGCAGGGTCTAAGTGTTTGAGACATCCTCTGCCACTTGCCCAGGTGTGTTAGGGAGCTGGAACTCCAAGCAGCACTCACATATGGGATACCAAGGCAAGGCAAATGCAGTGTGAACCACTACAACATAATGTCACCCCCAAGTCACCTCTCAGTGCAGCCCAAGGATTAAACCACTCAGAGAAGTTCCTGGTAAGAAGCGACAGCTGCGAGTTCTCATCTTTCCAATCATGGGGCCCACAAGGCTGGGATGAGGAGACACAGGAAATAGCTTGGCCCATTCAAATAAATATTTTTTAAAGAAAAGACTTATTCATTTATTTGAAAGGCACAGTTACAGAGAGAGAGAAAGAGCAAGAGGGAAAAAAACAAAGCTCCTTCCCTTGCTGGCTCACTCCTCAAATGGCTGCAGTAACAGTTGGGGCTGGACCAGGGGCAAGCAGAGCCAGGAACTCCCCCTGGGCTCCCGTGGGATGCAGGGTCCGAGCGCGTGGCCCGTCTGCTGCTTTCCCAGGCACATTAGCAGGGAGTTGAGTGACAGTGCAGCAGCCAGGACTCTGACCAGCAGAGTTACAGACGGCAGCTTACACTGCCACACTTCCACGCCAGCCCCAGTCCTGTATTTTTTTTTTAAAGATTTATTTTTATTACAAAGTCAGATATACAGAGAGAGGAGGAGAGACAGAGAGAAATATCTTCCATCAAATGATTCACTCCCCAAGCGGCCGTAATGGCCGGTGCTGAGCTGATCTGAAGCTAGGAGCCAGGATCTTCCTCCAGGGTACAGGGTCCCAAGGCTTTGGGCCATCCTCAACTGCTTTCCCAGGCCACAGGCAGGGGGCTGGATGGGAAGTGGGGCAGCCGGGATTAGAACTGGCACCCTCAAACAGAGGCTCTAAGATGAACTATGTCAATCAGTGGATTCTTCAACGACCCCGTCGTGCTTGGAGTGGAGAGAATGGCAGCAATTCATAACTGATGAACTATTAAAACCACTTGAGCAAACCCTCGGAGCATGCCCCACATCAGGGACCTGGGGACCTGGGGTGGGTGGGAGACTGGGTGGGGCTTCTCCCTGAAAATCCCCCTTTACCTCAGATACATGAAGGAAACAATGTGGAAATAATAGTCTTGCCCACTTTCTTGTAGCCCTTGAACCTTTTTACCCTAATTAACTATGTAAAGATTGTCAAAAACATAATTTTAAGAAATGGAAAAAGTTAGGAAAAAAAAAAAAGAAAGAACTGGTGCCCATATGGGATCCCGGTGTGTTCAAGGCAAAGACTTTAGCTGCTAGTCCATAGCGCCAGGCCCCCAGTCCTGTATTTTTAATAGATGCTGTTCTCTGGGTTTCTAGGGCAGAAGCCCCTGTGGCTCACCTGGCAGAGGCCTTGCACCCAACGACATTGAACCATGCTCCCAAGTGCTGACAACTGGTTTAGCATCTCAGAGTGCAGGGCCGAGAGAGACAGACACCTGCTCCCAATTCTTCGCAGCGCATATGGGCACTTCCTGGAGTGCTCAAGTAAGGATGATGGGGTACAGTGGGCTCCACTGTGGGCTGCCAAGGAGCTGCCCCAGATCCTGAGAGACCCTATCCAGCTTCTCAATCCCAGGGAGTAGGCCAAGGCAAACCCTGCCCCCTGTCATTGTGGTTGGTTCCTCTGGCTCGGGCATGCGCCCCCTCACACACCTGTTTTTTGCCTCAGGCACGCACAGGAGGACATTGCCAGGACTTGTGACCTCCCTCTGGGGACCCCAGCACCCCTTCGCAGTCTGGGACTATGTCTAGATCTCTGCGGCTCTGGACGGCTCCTGGGACCCCGCCGGGCCTACGTGTGGGGCGCAGACCTAGAAGGGGAGGGGGAGTCTTGCAGGTGAGCAAATCCAGCCTCCTGGGAAAAGCCAAGAGCCCAGGAGTACCAGGGCAAGCGGCGGTACAGCTCCTGTCTCTGACCCGGGTGTGGATTCCTGGTGTCACCTGATGGTTGCCCCAGTAAATGGAGCACCAAAGGCAGGTTAGGGAGACTGGCGCTCACTGTCGCCGGGGAGAGCGACCATGAAAGCTCTCTGCCCTCTGGGCTTCCCTGAATCGGCCCCACAGATGGGGCCGGGCGCGGGCTCCTGGCTCGGGTCTCCCAGGTGGGTGTGGCGGCGGGCGGCTTTGAGACCCCCAATGCCCTCAAGGGGCGTAGCCGGGACACGCCCAGGTGTACGGCCGGGACGTCCGGGCATGCGCGGACCCGCAGTGAGGGCGTGGTGGCGCCCAGGCGGCAGGGGCGCCTGCGCGGTGTCTCGGACTCTGATTGGCTTCCCGGAGCAGGAGGCGGAGCTCCAGCCGCGTCCCCGTGCTGCTGCTTCCGCGTAGCCGCCCCAGCGGCGGGAGCGGCTGCAGCAACTCTCGGCGTCCCCGAGGTGACCAGCTGGGCATCCGGGCTGGGACGGGGGCTGGGGATCCGGGAGGGGCAGGGTCCTGATCCAGGACAGCGGGCTCTGCGTCCCTGCGAGGTGAGAGCGCCCGGGGTCCCCGCGCGGAGTTCGGGGGGCGCGTCGGATCCTGCCCGCCCATCTGGGTGCCTTGACCCGAACCTTGCCTTTCGGGCCGGCGGGAGGACCCCTCGTCCGCTCCAGCCAGCGCTGTTCACCCCGGCAGACCCAGCTCGCGACTCCTTCTGTTTTGCATTGAGGGCTTAAAGTGTCAGTTCCCGGCCTCCCCGACGCGTACACCCCCAGCTCCCCACCTCCCAGTGAGTGCGATTTCTGATTACCTTTGCAGATGGACGGCACGGAAGGCAGTGCTGGGCAGCCCGGCCCTGCGGAGCAGTCCCACCGCAGCAGCGTGTCCTCCGTGGGCGCCCGAGGTGGGTTCTGCTCCCTGACCTCCTGCAAATGCTCCTGGAACGGCCAGGTCTGGGGAGGGGGTAGGGAGCTGCGGCTTGTTTTCAGTTTGGTTAAAGGTGATCTAGCCAAGGAGATGCGGAAGACCCGCTAGGGGCAGGCCCTCCCAGGGAGCCTGCAGGGGCTCCGTCGCCATCACTGTGGCCCTCACACACTACCTTTAGGAAGTCAGAATTGTGTTTCATGGGGAAGAGATGGGGACTCATCTAGGGGCGGGTACCTGGGCCTCAGATTCTTCTCCTGTTACGGAGGGCAGGACCTCAGCCTCCTGCAGGAGTTTAGGCCATCTCAGAGTCGCCGTGGCAGCAGAGCCGTGAGGGGTCTGGGTGGTACCTTCCCGTGCTGCCGTGGACCCCCAACACCTTGCTCAGTCACAGGCTTCACCTGTTTGGGGGTGGGGTGGGGTGTTCCTACTCAGCTACTGTCCTGTTGGTTCAGGGCTCTGAATGGGAATGCAGGGAAAGGGCAGCTGTGGGGTGTCCTGGGCGGCCTCAGCACTGTGCCCAGCTTGGCCTGAGCTGGCACCTGACGCAGGCTGCCTCGCAGGCTGTCTGGCTGACTCCAAGTCCAGCCCGGGGCCTGAGACATCTCCCTCCTTCCTCATCTCTGGAATGCTCTTGTTCAGGGCTGAAGTACAGTCCAGTTGTTGGAGCTGCTGGGGGAGTGTGGATGTTGGATCCTTGACCAGCCCTGGTGGGCTCTTAGGAATTGGGGTGAGGTACTAGGTTTCCGGATGAGGCTCTCTGGGAAGCCTGATTGATAAAGTTTCTTACTGGGGCCTCTCAGGGCTGCTGGAGGGACTCCTGGATCGCCCCAAGGGGGCAGGGTGATAGAGGGAGGGTGCCGGGCCAGCCTGGTTGTGCCCGGGCAGCGGGTCTCAGCTGACCCTAGCTGACCTCCATTGGCAGCGGCCGATGTGCTGGTATACCTGGCGGATGACACCGTGGTGCCCCTGGCCGTGGAGAACCTGCCCTCGCTCAGCGCCCATGAGCTGCACCGGGCCGTCCGTGAGGTGCTGCAGCTGCCGGATGTCGCCCTGGAGGCCTTCGCGCTCTGGCTGGTCTCGCCTCTGCTGGGTAAGGCTCGCCAGGAAGATGCTGGCCTGGAGCAGCTTCCAGAACCTTGAGGTGGGGGTGGGGAGGCACTTAGGTGGGTCCTGGGCTTGTGCAACCCTGTGGGGCTCCAGAGTCCTGACAAGACTTACTGGCCCTTCGCCTTGATCGTGAGGTCCTGGAGCCCAGATCATCCGGAGAATGGGGGTGAGGGTGGGGGTGGCAGTTGTGCTGGCAGAGTGAGAGTGCACCTCCTTAGCCCAGGCCTGTGCCACAGGTGAGAGGCTTGAGGTTGGGAGAGGTGAGACCCGAGCCAGACTGGATGCAGACGGAGCAGGGCGGACACATGGACACCTCAGACTGCTGAGCTCCTGCTGGGTGGCCAAGGGCAGAGAGTTGGCCCTGTGAGCATCCACACACTGTCCTGGCAGCCCGAGAGCTCATCGTGGGGCGGGCGTGGGCACAGTGCTGCCCCAGACCCCTGTACTGGGTATCATGACTGGGTGTGGTCTGAGCCCACTGGCTGGACAGAAAGCCCCGGGGTAGGGGGGTCATGTCTCAGAGAGGACCTCTGTTCTGTGGGGTAATGGGGAACTGCACCCTCCCAGCCCCCTCCCTAGCCCCCCAGCTGGCATCTCCTGCTTCAACTACCCTGAGGCACACACCCACCCTCTTCCTGCTGTCTGTCCCCTCTGCCACCCCACACCACATGCCTGCTCCTGCCTTACCCCACCCATCCGCCCACCCCCAGGACTGCCGCTTGGAAGGCCAAGGGTGCTGAGTCCCCGTGGGGGCCCCACCAGCTGCGGGGCAGCCCGCTTGTTTTCCCTTCCTGCTTCCTCCGCCCCCGCCCCGCCCCAGCACATTCCTGTCCCTGCACAGATGTGAAAGGGCTGTGTGTATGGCTCCCGCTGGGCGGCCCCTGCGCTGTCACCACCCACTGTGTTCCCAGGCTGGGCTCCAGAGGTTGCTGGGCTGCCCTTTCCAAGGCCTCGTCCACCAGGTGACAGTCCATGCCCCAGGGCCAGGAGAGCGCTGCAGGCAGGGAGGGGCGCCGTGTGCCACAGGCAGCTGCTCCCCTCTGCTTTCTGGATCTCTAGCAGCGGTGGACGGATCCAGTGCTGTTGTCCACCGCACAGAGCTGGGCCCAGGACTGCCTGTCTCCTTTGGCCAGTGGCCTCGGCAGGAAGGCCCCACCCAGCTGTCTGGGAGATCGCAGGGTTGTCACTATTCTGTTTTTTTTTTTTTTTCCCAAAGATTAACTTATTTTTTACTGAAAAGGTAGACTTTTTTTAGTTATAAGAAGAGACAGAAAAGAAAATCTTCCATCCACTGGTTCACTCCCCAGATGGCCTCAATGCCCAGAACTGAGCCAATTTGAAGCCAGGAGCCTCTTCCGGGTCTCCCATGTGGGTACAGGGTCCCAAGGCTTTGGGCCGTCCTGGACTGCTTTCCCAGGCCACAAGCAGGGAGCTGGATGGCAAGCAGGGCGGCCGGAATTAGAACAGGTGCCTATATAGGATCCCATTGTGTTCAAGACGAGGACTTTAGCCACTAGGGCACCGTGCTGGGCTGGTTTTTAGTGTTTTAAAATGTTACCTGAAATGGAGAGTCTAGAGAACGGGACAGAGAGAGAGAACGGGACAGAGAGAGAGAGAACGGGACAGGGAGAGAGAATGGGACAGAGAGAGAGAACAGGACAGAGAGAGAGAACGGGACAGAGAGAGAATGCGCTTGCGTTCTTCTGTGTGAAGAGCTGGGGCTTCAGGAAGGCACACGCACATGGAGTGTGGGAGTCCCAGGTGGGGCTTCAGGAAGGCACACTCACATGGGGTGTGGGAGTCCCAGGCCGGGCTTCAGGAAGGCACACGCACATGGGGTGTGGGAGTCCCAGGTGGGGCCTCTGTGCTGGGTCCTGTGCTAATGCCCGGCCTCCATGAGCTGCCCAGGCTTGGAGGGAGGGCTGGGCTGCGGGCAGGAGGCAGGATGTCCCGACTCTAGTCCAGCCCCACCCATGCTGTCCACCAGCTTGCTTGTTAATCTGTTCCCTTTCTTAGTGCAGGGATGTCTGCAGTCCCCGCTCAAGGCAGGCAGCATCTGGACAGATGCTGGGATATGCCTGGAAAGGATGTGGATGGGTCCCTGTCCTCAGGGAAGGAACTGGAGGGTCAGAAGTCAGGTGGAGGAGCTGGCCCATGTGGTTAAGCTGCACTCATCCAATATCCCATGCTGATACTAGCCCCAGCTGCTCCACCTCCCTGCCAGCTGGAAGGGCAATGGAGGATGGTTCAAGAGTTTGAGTCCTTGGTGCCCACATGGGAGACCCAGGTGGAGTTTTGGGTTGCTGGAGCAAAAGGCCCTACTAGGGCATATGACCTGCCTCGTTTCTAGGGGGAGGGTGGAAGATGGGTGGGCCAGGATCCCGGCAATGCCAGCTGCAGAGTGCCTCGGGCTGGGTGCCCTGAGCGTGGCCCTCCCGTCTCGTCCTCCCTCAGAGGTGCAGCTGAAGCCCAAGCACCAGCCCTACAAGCTAGGCCGCCAGTGGCCAGAGCTCTTGCTGCGCTTCACCGACGCACCGGATGACGACGTGGCCATGGGTCAGTGCCACCTCCTGCCCTGTCCCCTGTCCCACCTCAGGGTCCTCAGCCCAGCCTGATCCTGGGGAAGGTGAGCTGGGAGGGCCAGGCTGAGCGCCTGCACCTGCAGTGACACCAGCCTCTCTTCCCCCAGACGAACCCTCCCTGCAGTTCCGAAGGAATGTGTTTTTCCCCAAGCGGCGGGAGCTCCAGGTGATGCCCTCGGTTTGGGCAGTGCCCCCTAACCCTCTGCCCCGCCCTGACCCCCACCCCTCTGATCGGCCCCTGCCACACTGGCCCCCAGATCCAAGATGAGGAGGTCCTGCGGCTGCTCTACGAGGAGGCCAAGGGCAACGTGCTGACCGTGCGCTACCCGTGCGACCCGGAGGACTGCGAGGCACTGGGTGCCCTGGTGTGCCGTGTGCAGCTTGGGCCCTACCAGCCTGGCCAGCCTGCGGCCTTGAGGTGAGGGCAGAGCCTCCCGAGGTGGGCCACAGGCTCCTGGTCTTGAAGGATGTTAGGTCTTGGGAAGTGGGGTGCCATCCTGCCATCCCTGCTGGGAGTGCTAGAGGCAGCCAGTCCAGCTCTAGAGCTTGCCCCATACAGGGTTGGGGTCTGACCTGCCTGCCCCAGGCCCAGCTCTCCCCTTGGCCTCTCACCTAGCTCTGCCCTGGCAATAACTTGTACATCTCCCTCTTGGGCACCAGCTCCCCTTTTTGCCTATATTCTCCCTCTGCTTGTGGGCCAGACTGATGCCCACAGAGGGGACAGACATTCCTCTCTGGCAGCTGTGTCCAAGACAAGGACAGGGCAGGGTGCTGGTGAGTCCCCACGCCGGGCCCCTGCCCCTGGCTTCAACACCTTCCCTTGCTTCCTGCACAGGGAGAAGTTGGACTCCTTTCTCCCTGCCCACCTCTGCAAGCGGGGCCATGGGCTCTTTGCTGCCCTCCGGGGCCGCGGGACCAAAGCTGGACCTGGCGAACAAGGGCTGCTGCACGCCTACCGTCAGGTGAAGGAGACCGGCAGCGGCGAACACGAGGCTGCCCTGGGTACCCACTACCGTGCCTACCTCCTCAGGTGCCACGAGCTGCCCTTCTACGGGTAAGCAGTCGCAGCCCTGGGCCAGCGCTCAGCTGCCCTGGGAAGCAGCATCTTAGTGTCATCAACGCCTCAGGCCCCACGTGTCCCTAGCAGGTCCCCCTGGCCTCTTCCCTCACTCCTGTTACAGGCTCAGGCACCTGCACAGTCCCTCTTGCACCTGCCATGGTCACTTGGTCATGGGCCCAGCAGAGTGTCCCTTCAGCCAGCTGCCAGGCACCTGCTGCTGCTGGGCATGTGGTAGTGAGCCCAACACCCTGTGCCATCTAGTAGAAAGGGACATGGAGCCATCCGCGCAGAGCCAGGAGCCCACAGGAGGCCACACTCACAGCAGGGGGGTTGGTGACGGAGGGAGGGGCTGGCAGGCTTTGCAGGAGGAGGAGCAGTTGAGGAGGCGGCGGGAGGAGCACTGAACTGACAGCTGCTGGTCTCTCCTCAGCCAGGCCAGCTGCTGGGTGGAGGAATCAGTGCCTCCTCTGTGTATGGATGGTGCTTGAAGCTCAGGGTCCCCAGAGATGGCCTGGGGTCTGCACCCCCAGTGCCGTGGGGCTACCACACTGAGGGGGCAGGAGGGCCTCCACAAGCCGGCCCTGTCGCTGTTTGAGGTGGAGATGGTGGAGTGTGGGGACCAGGAATGGGGGAGACCTTGCGTGTGAGCAACTCCCAGGGGAGCTGTGCTGTGGCACAGGTCGCAGGTGAGCGGTCATGGGCCGAGACAGCATGTGCAGGTCACGTGTTTGTAGGGTGCATGTACACATGTGTTTGTGTGTGTGCTTGCACGGACAGGAATGATCCACTGGTGAGTGGCAACTGTTCTAGTGGCTTCTGTGTCCTCTGGGCCTGGATCAGGGTGCGCTCAGGAGCTGCAGGTGGCCTGTATGGTGGCCTAGGACAGCAGGATTTACCTCGGGCTCTGGCTTGGCCGAGAGGGTGTGCCACCCAACAGAGGGGAGAAGACGTGGCAGGGAGTGGCCCGGTCCACCGCACCTGCCTCTCAGTGTGCCTTAGCCTGGGAGCCCCTGACCGGGGAGGCCCTGGCCTGCAGGTGCTTCCAGCAAGTCCTGCTGCTGGGGGGGCCTTAGCCCTGGATGGTGGGCAGCAGGACTGACCTGGCCACCACGGCCCGAGTCCCAGGGTTCCTTGCAGTCCCTGCCCCCCACCTGGGGCCATGCCTTTGCCACAGCCAGAGCCAGGGACGGACCTGAGCAGGTCTCCTCAGAGGGTCTTGGGCTGGAGGGAGCCGCTCACCCCAGGTTCCTTTCCCCTGCCCCTTTCCCCGCCAGGTGCGCCTTCTTCCATGGTGAGATCGACAAGCCAGCCCAGGGCTTTTTACACCGCAGTGGGCGCAAGGCAGTGACCGTGGCCATCAATTTGGAAGGAGTTCATGTCATTGACCACAGGGACAAGGTACAGCTCCAATCCCCCAGGAGGAGCCGCAGGCTGGGAAGAAGGGTATGGGGGTCCTTGTCCAGGGCCCTCCCCCTAATCCCACTGGGCCTGGGCTGTTCCTGCTAGAACTCTCAGCTCTCCCCCTAAGAAGAGCTGTTTCAGGCAGGTGGCCGCCGCTGGGGGTTTGCCTCTCAGCAAACAGTCTGCCCAGGAGCTGATGGTTTTCCAGAAAGATCAGCAGCTAGGTGCACTGTTGGGCTGTCCACATTCCCCCTGCATGTGGACGCCAACTGTTAGAAGGCACTATTGTGAGCCCATCCCGGGCAGGCACCCGTGGGCAGAAGTTGTGGCTAACTCTGGGTTGTCCTCATAGAGGAACACTGGCTGCATGGTGACCCTGCCTTACTGTCTGCCCAGGGGGCCGAGGAGCCCGTCTTCCCCTCTGTACCCCATGTGACTCTCAGGTGTGAGGGTCTGGTCTCCTTTGTGACACACAGTCAAGGGAGAGGCGGCCCCAGGGCCCCTGTGCAATGCCCGGGTGGCTGATGCGCAGGCCTCTGCCCGGCATCTCAGCCTGCCCTGCTTCTGCCGGCCAGCACGTGCTGCTGGGCCTGCGTTTCCAGGAGCTGTCGTGGGACCACACCTCCCCTGAAGAGGAAGAGCCTGTCCTCTGGCTGGAGTTCGATGGGGACAGCGAGGGCACGCCTGTCAACAAGCTGCTGCGGATCTACTCCAAGCAGGTGGGGCGGCACTACCCACCACCGGTGCCCAGGCACTTGGCTGCAGGCTCTGTCCTGGGCAGCGGTGGCTGCACTGAGGGTGCTGGAGGACTAAGGTCCCCGGGTCCTTGTGCCCAGTGCCCACCAGTTCTCCTGCCCCTGCTTCTCCCTCACTGCTCGCTGGTCCCTGGTCCCTGTCAGGGATGGCTGCTCTTACTGTCCCCTCCACTCGTGCTTAGGGACATAGCCCCTCCTGCCAGCATCCCAGGACCCTAGACACCTGGTGGCCTTATTTCTCAGCTCCCTTGGGGTGCCCCTCTGCCTCCAGCTCTAGACCACACCCAGCCACCTTGCCATGCTCGGGGACCATGATTTCTGCCTTGTGTGCCTGCTCTTCTGGAAGCACCTCTGGTCCCCTGTGGTTCCCCCAATTTCTAGCCCCTCTGCTGGCCCCCTGGCCCTGCGTCTCGCGACCTCTCCCAAGAACCTCCTCCCACAACACAGATGCCTGTGAGCTCATCCATTCCCATTCCATGCTCTGAAGTCCTGCATGTCCTTGTTCCTCTCTAAGATTTTTCTGTTTTAATTTTTATTTGAAAAGCAGCTTTTAGAGGGAAAGAAGATGCAGGGAGAGAGATCTTCCATCCACTGGTTCACTCCCCAAATGACCACAATGGCCAGAGCTGACGTGTCCAAAGCCAGGAGCTTCCTCTGGGTCTGCCATGCGGGTACAGGGATCCCAGCTCCTGGACTGTCTGCCGCTCCCCCAGTAGTATCGGCAGGGAGCTGGATCAGGAATAGAACAGCCAGGACTAGAGCTGGCCCCATGTGGGATGCCAGCACTTGCAGGCAGAGGATGACACAGCTCTGTCACTGCATCGGCCTTTAGGTGTCTCTTTGTAAGTGAACATCTTACTGAATTATAATAATACACATAGAAACTGCGGCCCGGCGTGATGCATCAAGGCTGTGGCTGTGTGCCATTGCTGCACAGTGCTAGCCCCAAAGGTGGAGTCTCTGCTCCTTCCCGCTTTCATTACCCGCCTCCCCATCGAGGTTCAGCTCAGGGGTCACTTCCTGCTTACAGATAGCTAACCTTGTCCATGGCCACCAGGTGGTAGGACCCTTTCTTTTGTTTTTAAAGATTTATTTTTATTATTTTTTTATTGGAAAGGCAGATATACAGAGAGACAGAGAGGAAGATCTTCCATCCGATGATTCACTCCCCAAGTGAGCGCAACGGGCCGATACTATGCCGATCCGAAGCCAGGAGCCTCTTCCGGGTCTCCCACGTGGGTGCAGGGTCCCAAAGCTTTGGGCCGTCCTCTGCTACTTTCCCAGGCCACAGGCAGGGAGCTGGAAGGGAAGCGGGGCTGCCGGGATTAGAACCGGCGCCCATATGGGATCCCGGGCGTGCAAGGCGAGGACCTTTAACCACTTGCGCCACCGCGCCGGGCCCCGACCCTTTCTTTTTGGAGTTGGCCCGTGTCTGTTGACAATCAATTGGCCGCCTGTGTGGGTTTCTGGATTCTGTGTTCTAAGCCATTGATCCAAATGTTTGTCTTTCACTAATCATACCAAATTGGTCAGTGAATCTCCAGGGTGAGTCTGAACTCAGGTAATGTGAGTTCTAGTACTTTGTGTGGTTTTTAAAATATTTATTCATTTACATTTGTTCGAAGCAGTTGCAGAGAGAAGGCGGGAGAGATCTTCCATCTGCTGGCTCCCTCCCCAGAAGGTGACAATCTGGGCCAAGCTGAAGCCAGGAACTTTCTCCAAGTCTCCTACATGGGTGGCAGGCCCATGCACTTTGGCCATCTGCAGCTGCTTTCCCAAGGGCATCAGCAGGGTGCTGGATCAGCAGGGAAGCAGTGGGTCTACAATGGCTCAATAGCTACATCCTCGCCTTGCAAGCTCCAGGATCCCATATGGGCGCTGGTTCTAATCCTGGCTGCTCCCCTTCCCAACCAGCTCCCTGCTTGTGACCTGGGAAAGCAGTACAGGATGGCCAAAGCCTTGGGATCCTGCACCCACGTGGGAGACCAGGAAGAAGCTCCTGGCTCTTGGGTTTAGATTGGCTCAGCTCCGGACATTGTGGCTTTTAGGGAGTGAACAGCAGATGGAAATCTTTCTCTTTGTCTTTGCTTCCCTCCATAAATCTTTTCAATAAAAATTAATATATCTAAAAAAAAAAAAAAGAAAAAGAGAAGTGATGCAGCCAGGACTTGAACCAACGTCCCTATGGACTGCCGGCTCCACAGGATAGAGGATTAGCTTACTATGCTATCACCCACTGCTACTCACCTCCACCTTCAATGCATCTTGAGTTAGAGTTACTGATACTCCCCTTCCTGGGGTGCCCAGCATGGGCATCTGTCCACCTTGCCCTTTGCTGTACCTGAGAGTCTGCAGTGGCTCCTGCCATGCAGTAGAGTTAGTTGACACCACCCTCAGCTTGCTGTGACTCCCTTGGACCCGGTCACATGGCGCCCAGCCGCGCCTAGACACCTGCCCCCGCAGTTCCTGCTGGCAGCTGGCAGGGGGCAGAGGGCGGAGCCCCTTCAGGACCACTCCACCCCCCACCCCACGCTGGCAGTATCCGCCCAGAAGTCCCCCTACCGGTCCGGCTGAGTGCCTGGTGCCAGCTATGCTGTCTGCCTGCACCTGCCCACCCCTCAGTCAGCCCGCCCAGCCTCTGCCTCCAGTGAGGGTGTCTGTCCTTTCCTAGAGCCCTGTGCCCTGTCACCACAGGGCGCCTCCCTCCTCACTCCCTACTCCCCGCTGGTGGTTCTTCCCATGCCTGCCTCTCCGCCTCCACCAGAGGGCAGGGCAGGACTGTCTGCAGCTGAGCTGGCTCAGCAGCTGGCCTCTCGCTGGCCCCTGTCACACCGCAGGCCGAGCTCATGAGCAGCCTCATCGAGTACTGCATCGAGCTGAACCAGGTCGCTGAGCCCGTCGCCCCCCAGGACAGCGCGACCGGCCCCCGCGCGGCCCCTGGCTCCTTGCCGCCGCCAGCGCAGCGCCCCAAGCTGCGGAGGCAGAGCAGCGTAGTGTGCAGCCGGATCCAGCATCTGTCCACCATCGACTACGTGGAGGATGGTGAGCACCGTGTCAGCCCCGAGGGTGGGGAGCCCCGTGGGGTCTGTGTGGCAGGAACCGCTTTCTGCCCCTTAGGCCTGCCACGTCCTGGGATGCTCCCTGCAGTATTGTCCACCTTGTGAGAACGGGGTGTGGCCAGGGTCTGTCGCGGAGGTGTTGTAGATGCCCCAGATCACACGTGGGCTGGCCTTGTGACACAGCAGCTATGTCACTGGTTGGTACTAGTGTCCCTTACACAGCGTGGCTTGGAGTCCCTCCTGTTCCTCCTTCCCAGTCGGCTCCCCGGGAAGGCAGCATGGCATATCCCAAGAAGGGCCTGAGACCCAGAGGGACCTCCGGGTTCCTGGCTTCCGCCTGGCTCAGTCCTGCCTGCTGTGGGTGGAACATGTCGCTCTGTCCAACTGGGTCTCCCACATGGGTGGCTAGGTCCTGGGCCTCTGAGCCATCATCTTCTGACTGCCAGTATGTGCCCAGGCAGGACGCTGGAGTGGGCATTGGGCCCAAGCCATTGGAGGTGGGGAGCAGGCATCCCGAGCGATGTCTTATGTGCCGCCCCCAGCACCTACCTCGCCTAAGATCTAGAATGTGTAAAAGTTCTGGAATTCTGTCGAAGCTTCCCTGTCAGTCCCACAGACGCACTGCAGGCATTTGGTTCCCTGGCCTGTCCTTGAGCTGGCTTGGGCTACAGCTCCAGCTCCCTCCCACCACCCCACTGGTCCAGGAGCCCTGGTGGGGGTGCAAGGACCGAGGGCCAGAAGCACAGGGGAGCCCAAGTCAGGGAGCCAGCACGCCCCACCCCAGCACTGCCCCCCAGCCTGCCCCTCGCCCTCTCTCCCTTCCAGGCCAGGGCATCAAGCGGGTGAAGCCAAAGCGGTCGACGTCTTTCTTCAGCCGCCAACTGTCCGTGGGCCAAGGGAGCTACACCGTGGTGCAGCCCGCAGACAGCGGGGAGCAGGAATCAGGGTGACCGCCAGGCGCGAGGTGGCTCCACACCCAAACCCACAGGGGCAGGGCCCGGCTGGGCTGCCTGGACTGCTCGGGCCCTGGGGGTGGGCTCCAGGCCACACCTCCCCTGGACCCAGTCCCCCACCCCTGGGGATGAGCTTGTCGGGCAGGCGAGGCTCTGTGCTGAAGGGCGCAGGCGGCACTGCGGCAGGCAGCTGAGGCTCACAGCTTCCAGCAGGTGCCCTGCTCTTTCCCCTGGACCAGGGTGGCTGCTTTCCTGCATCTCTGTCACTGCCACCACTCCACCCTGGCTATCTGGTGGTTGCCACAGAAGGCCGGGGGTCTCCTAAGACTGTGTGGTGGTAGAGTGAAGGTGAGTGCTCAGGCTTGCTGGGTCTCGCTGGGCTGGGCCTCGCTGGGCTGGCCAGGCTATGGGTCATGCACAAGGCTTCTGGGCAGGCATGCGACACTGACATGAAAGGTGACTTTGTTGGTCTCTGGGAGGTAACTCTCCTGGGACCCCTCAGGGCCACCAGACCCCCACTGTACACTGAATCACTTCGCAGGGCCCTGGTGGTCCTGCTCAGCTGATCCCCCACCCGCCGTTTGCTCCCAGCATCCTGGGCCTCGGGGCTTCATGTGGGGCCTTTTTCATGCAGTAGAGTTCAGGGCTTCCACTGGCCCCAGCGTGGGCATCGCGGCCGCCGAGAAAGCCAGCCCCCTGCCAGCCAGTCTTCTGTCTGGAGAACGTCAGGAGGTGCAGACGTGGCCGCTCACCTCAGCCTGGCCCTGCTGGCCACAGCGATCCGTGCCTTTCCCAGCCCCTGCAGCTCTCCGTGCAGGCTGTGTAGCTCTCACAGGAGGCTTCCCGGAACTCCCTGCAGGACAGGGCAGGCCCAGGGGGAGGGTCTGCGGTCTGCCATCCCTACCCAGCGGTGATGACGGGAGGAAAGGCTGTGGCGTCGCCCCTCTGCAGCAGGAACCTGCGGGTTCCTCATAGTGCAGAGAATGCGGAGACGTCCCCAGCCTTGTGGAATAGCCCAGGTGCAGGGCAACTTCAGCTGCCACTCCTGTGTCGCCTTGTGGTGTGCTGTGGCTGGGCCTAGCCTGTGCTCAGGACTCGGGTCTCTGCCCACTGTTGATGGCATGTGGGCTGTGGAGTGTGTGTGTATGTGTGTGAGGGTGAACCTGGACCATGTCCTCCAAGCTTTCTCATGCTTTCTGAGCGTTCACTGTGCCTTAACATTTTCTGCCTGCCCTTTTGGACAAAGCAGAGTTTTACTAAACGCCCATGAATGTTCTTTTGTACCATGTGACTTATTAGTAATAAAATTCATTTCTAGCCATACTTTGGGATGCTTCACAGCATGAAATCATAGCACCATGTCGCTGGGCACCCCGTCCCTGTCGCCCTGTCCATGAGCGCCGTGTCCCTCTCGCCCTGTCCCTGGGCACCATGGCCCTGGCCACCTCACATCCTGGGCTCCTTGCTTTGATGTCACTAACCATGCATGTGTCCAGCGCGCGGGGCTGGCCCCGCAGTGCGAGCGGAGAGCCTTAGGAAAGGCCTCTGACTCTGGTGGGTTGTCTAGGACGTGCAGGGAAGGGGCTGCGAGGCCACTGTTCCCCAGAGCCTGTCCTATTTTTAGAGTGGAGGGACAGTGGGAGCTGCAGAAGCTTTGTATAGTGAGACTTGGCCTGTGTAGTGAACACTGCGGACCAGGGATTGCATGTGTCCCATGGCACTGACCTCCTTGGGTCGCTTGTTATCTCTGGTCCCCTGCCTGGCTGGTATGCAGTGCCCTGCCCGTAGGCACTCAGAGGAGGCATGCGCCACCTCCATTCCTCAGCCTTTCATGGGGAGGACTGGCAGCACCCACCTCCAGGCTGTGGTTGCTCTCGTGTCCTCATGGAGTTCTGCGTCTGGGAGCTGTGAGGGAGGGCGGGGCCTGAGACCACCTTTGGGCTCCAGGCCCTGAGCAGGTGGTCAGAAGTGGCCAGACGGCAGCACAAAAGTGGGAACCCTAGCTGCTCTACTGCCTGCTCCGGGCCTGGGTCACTTCCCCACAGGCTTCACGCTGCTTCCAGAGGCCCCTTCCCCTGCACTGTCAGGGCCTAGCAGTGTAGTATGTTCTGTAGTTGATAAAATGGCAGATACAGGATTTCATAATTTTTAAAAATTTTATTTTTATTGCTAAGTTAGATATATATAGGGAGGAGAAAAGACAGAGAGGAAGATCTTCTGTCCAATGATTCATTCCCCAAGTGACTGCCACAGCCAGTACTGAGCCGATCTGAAGCCAGGAACCCCTCCGGGTCTCCCTCGCGGGTGCAGGTCCCAAGGCTTTGTGCTGCCCTCGACTGCTTTCCCAGGCCACAAGTAGGGAGCTGGATGGGAAGCAGGGCAGCCTGGATTAGAACAGGCAACCATATGGGAACCTGGCGCATTCAACATGAGGACTTTAGCTGCTAGGCCACGATGCCGGGCCCCATAACTTTTTAAAGTTTATTTATTTGTTTTTTTAAAAAAGATGTATTTATTTTTATTGGAAAGGCGGATATACAGAGAAGAGGAGAGACAGAGAGGAAGATTCTTTTATCCAATGAATCAATCCCCAAGCAACCGTAACGGCTGGAGCTGAGCCAGTTTGAAGCCAGGAGCCAGGAGTTCTTTTGGGTCTCCCACGCGGGTGTGGGGTCCCAAGGCTTTGGGCTGTTCTCCAAAGCTTTCCCAGGCCACAAACAGGGAGCTGGATGGGAAGCGGTGCCGCTGGGATTAGAACCAGTGCCCATATGGGATCCCGGATGTGCAAGGTGAGGACCTTAACCACTATACTATCGCACCGGGCCCAAGTTTATTTATTTGAAAAACAGAGTTTACAGAGAGAGAAAGAGCTTCTGTCTGCTGGTTAACTTCTCAAATGGCTGCAACAGCCACAGGTGACTCTTCAGGTCTCCCACATAGGTGCAGGGGCCCAAGCTCTAAGGCCATCTTCCCTTGCTTTCCCAGGCGCATCAGCAGGGAGCTGGGTCAGAAGTGGTCACCAGCTGAATCAGCACCCTGATGGGATGCCAACACCACAGGCAGCAGATCCACCTGCTGTGCCACAGCATCAGCCCCAGGATTCAGTTTTCTCCAGGCAAGCCCCCACGGTCAGGGTTATGGCCCAGCACATTAAGCTGGTGCTTGTGATGCCAGCATCCCATAGAGGGGCACCAGTTGGAGTCCTGCTGCCCTGCTTCCCGACCAGCCCCCTGCTAAGGCACCTGGACAGGCAGTGGGTGACGGCCCAAGTGCTTGGACTCCTGCACTCATGAGGGAGACCGGATAGAGTTCTTGCTCCTGCATTCCTCCTGGCCCAGCCCTAGCTGCCATGGCCATTCATGTAACGGGTGAACTGGCAAGTAGAACCTCTCCAGCTCTGCTTTCCAGGTAAATAGTAAAAACCAAAACCAAAAACAAAACAATGAAAAGGAGGAGTAAGTGGACCCTTCGCAGCCCAGAGCTCGGCTGCAGATGCCAGGTAAGCACCTGGCCTGTGGGGTCAGGTGTGTTTGCTGCTACAAGGCTGGAAGCCGGTCCCTGGGCCCTGTCACCCCACTTTCCAGGGCTGTGGTGGCTCCACTTGATGAGTGTGGCTCTGTCACTGTCATCCTGAGAGCCCATTTTTTTTTTTAAAGATTTATTTTTATTATTATTTTTTTATTGGAAAGGCGGATATACAGAGAGGAGAGACAGAGAGGAAGATCTTCCGTCCGATGATTCACTCCCCAAGTGAGCGCAACGGGCTGATACTATGCCAGTCCGAAGCCAGGAGCCTCTTCCGGGTCTCCCACGCGGGTGCAGGGTCCTAAAGCCTTGGGCCGTCCTCAACTGCTTTTCTGGGCCACAGGCAGGGAGCTGGAAGGGAAGCGGGGCTGCCGGGATTAGAACCGGTGCCCATATGGGATCCCGGGCGTGCAAGGCGAGGACCTTAACCACTTGCGCCACCGCGCCGGGCCCGAGAGCCCATTTTGTTCTTGTGTTGAACTTCCTGAAGCTGCCGTGACAAAGCAGTGTAAGCTGCAGGCACATGACAGCCAGGACAATGGCCCACAGTTGTGGCCAGAGCCCAACAGCTCCAGGCCCTCTTGCCGGACCCTGGGCTCACAGCTGGCTGAGAGCTCTGCCTCAGTGGTAGTCATGGGGAATTTTCCTTAAAGGCTGTGTCTGTGAGCCCAACACTATGGCCTAGCAGCTAAAGTCCTCACCTTGAACGTGCCTGTGATCCCATATAGGTGCCAGTTCTAATCCCGGCAGCTCCACTTCCCATCCAGCTCCCTGTTTGTGGCCTGGGAAAATAGTCAAGGATGACCCAAAGTTTTGGGACCCTGTACCCATGTGGGAGACCTGGAGGAAGTTCCTGGCTCCTAACTTCAGATCAGCACAGCACCAGCCGTTGCAGTCAAAAGATCTTCCTCTGTCTCTCTTCCTCTCTGTATATCTGACTTTGCAGTCAAAAATAAATAAATCTTAAAAAAAAAAAAGGCTGTGTCCTCACGTGGCTGCCGCCTTGAGACACCTGCCTGTCATGGGGTCAGGGGCCTGTCACCCTGCTGCAACCTCCTGTGTCAATCACTCCAGGGCAGATCTGTTCCCAGCTAGGGCCTCTCACTGAGGTCGTTCTGTGCAGCCCCTCAGGACACCGTAAAGGTGCGCTGGGCCTGGTCTTTTGGCCTTTATAAGACATCAGAAGCCATTACTGAAGAGTACCAGTTCCCCATGGGCTGCACAGAGCAGCACGAGGGCTTCCCGTGCCAGTCGGCACACTGCCTGGCTTCAGAGGCCTGCAGGTGCCAACAGTGCCCTGTGCGGTTGGCACCATGGTGACATTCAGAGATCAGGTGCCCAGAGCTGGCCACACAGACTATCCTGTTGTCCCCTCTGAGGCTGAGGCATTGCGGGGTCATCATCCACACCCTATGACAACCTGGGGGACACTCCTGCAGGCCTTCAAGGCTCTGGCTGGACACACATGGCTCCCACTACAGCCACAGCCCAGCCAGAGGCTCCTGGTCTGTGGAACCCACAGCCTGCCTGTCAGGAGACCCACTGGGGAGCCAGCATTGTGGCATAGCAGGCAAAGCGCCACCTGTGATGTCGGCAGTCCAAATGGGCATCAGTTCAAGTCTCAGCTTCTTCACTTCCAGCTCCTTGCCAGTGGCCTGGGAAAAACAGCAGAAGATAGCCCAAGTTTGGGGGTCCCTGAATCCACGTGGAAGGTCCAGAAGAAGCTCCTGGCTCCTAGCTTTGGCCTGGTCCAGCCGTGGAGGTCATGGCCATTTGAGGGATGAGCCAGCTATCTCCCCTGACTCTGCCCTTTTAATTCTTTCAAAATACATGTGCCTGGCATGATAACTCAGAGGCTAAATCCTTACCTTGCAAGCACCTGTATCCCATATAAGCTCCTGTTTATGCCCCGGTTCCTCCACTTCCCATCCAGCTCCTGCCTGTAGCTTGGGAAAGCAGTAGAGGACAGCCTGGGAAAGCCTTCTGCACCTGTGTGGGAAACCTGGAAGAAGCTCCTGTATCCTGGCTTCTGATCAGCTCAGCTCTGGCCTTTACGACCACTTAGGGAGTGAACCAGCAGATGGAAGATCTTTTTGTCTCTCCTTCTCTCTGTAAATCTGTGTTGTCTTTCCAATAAGAGTAAATACATATTTTTTAAAAATATGCAAATGCTTAATGTGAGAGGAAACCCCTACAGAAGAATAAAGACTCTGCTGGGTTCTGAAAGGGACAGCGGAGTGTCCCAGGAAGATGTCACGCTCTGAAGTGACAGAAGCTGGAGGGATAAAGGGCACGGAAAGCAGAGGGCTGCATGTGCGCACTCAGAGCCTCACGCCCCCAGCAGGCAGAAGCAGCAGCTGCTGCTTGCACATGGAATTGCTGGATTCATTGCCCGAGAGTCAGCTCACAATCCATTTAGCTTATTGGGGGACAATGGGGTGAGACCTCAGATGGCCAGGACAGTAAGCCACTTTGTACCCACCAAGCCCCTGGCAGGAGCAGGTCACACCAGCATGAGACAAAGGAGGCTTCAGTAGATGAGGGGAGTCAGTGATGACAGGTGACTTCTTGTTGGGACCCCCGTGTCCAAGTGCTGAGCTTGAGTCACGGCTGTGACCTCAGGAGGCAACAGTGACAGCTCAGGCAGTTGGGCTGCCACCCACGTGGGAGACCTAGGTTGAGTCCCCCTCCCCCACTGGCTATGTGGGCATCTGGGCAGTGAACCAGTCGACAGGAAATAACGTGCTTAGGAACAGTTTTTAAGAGGGAGCTGATGTGGCATAGCAGGGTTGCCTACA